TTAGAAAAATCTCTCTGGTTCGTAAAGGGCTTTCTTCCTTTTATGTCTCCATTGGCTATGGGGTGCAATGGTTCTGCAGGCTTTATGGTCTCAATTTTTTCAATTTTGTACTTGCAGCGCTTCTTCTATAACACAAGTAAAAGAAAAGTTAGTAATTATACTTCCCATAGTAACCTTATCAAACACCTAGAGAGCTGAGCAAATAGAGAAGTGCCACCTTCTGGTGAAAAGTAAAACAGTATTATAAACAGCACAGAACACATACATTGTTATGTTCTATGTAGATACTACCATAACCTTCCCAATTTGTAAATACTACTGAATCAAAACTCTTTAAATTGCTTACCTGCTACCTATGAATATAGGTTTAGGGAATGATACTAATATCTGAATACCTACTAACTGCCAGATAGCATAGTTTGCTTTCATGTATTATGGCAGTTATTAACCCTGAAAGGTTGGTATTTTACCCTTGATTCTTAAATGAGAAAAGCAAGGTTCAGATGTTTGGTTCCTTGCCCAAGTTACAATGTAGTAAGTAGCCAGGTTGAGAAGGAATCTTAGGCTATTTTCCTACAAAGCCCAAGTTCTTTCACCTAGATAAAATTACTACTAATTAAAATTAGTATAACTTAATTTGAAAGGCAAAATGAAAACGCAAAGACTTTGAAGCCAAAATATCCTAAGTACATTCCGAGTTGCTGTTTTTTCATTAAAAAAAAAAAAATGAGGATAACATCATCTTCAGGTTGTGAGGATTAGAGAAATGGTGCATGCTCTGTGCTTGGCATGCATTTGGTAATAAATAATGACAATCATCCAAGGATCAACAAATGTTTTTTGTAAAGGGTCAGACAGTAAATATTTTAGACTTCGCAGGTCACATATTTTCTCTCTTGCATGCTGTTCTATTTTATCACTCTTTAAAAATGAGAAAATCTATCTGGCTCATGGCCCATATAAAATAGACTACATATGACCTGTGGGTCACAGCTTGCTGACCCCTGTAAATATTTATTTATACCATTACCATGATAGAAAATACACATTCAATTAAAGACTACTTAAAGGTAATTACCTTGAACCTTTCAACCTCTTTTCTTCATTTATGATCATAAAATATAGCAATAAACTTAAAAAGAAATAAACAATTACCTTCTTTTCTGGAGAAAACTTGAGGGGTTCTACAATGTACAGATCATTTGGGTCTACTGTAAGTGAAAAAAAAGCAGATGTAAAATGTAAAGTGGATTTGGTGGATTTGCTATAATTACATACTGAAATAAGAAAAATCATTCCTTATTATCCTCTAGTAATAGAACCAATTAATTTATATCAGGTTAACTATATATTTATGTATTTTAAATTAGTAAGCAAAAAGAGGCAAGGTGGAAGATGATACGATTCCTATACTTGACTGGTTATCTTCAAATAACTATACTTCCTTAAGTTGTTAACTAGTAGCTGGTTATCATCAACCAATACAATAAGGATCTTTCTTTGGGCCTAGCCCTACTCTTTTACCTGGTAAGAAAAGAAACATTCCTGGGTAAGCGAACACCAAACCTGCAGATCATCTGAATATTTCCCTGAAGGACTAGTCTCTAAACTGTGTCACAAAGGTAGATTAACAATGTGCAACAAGTAGTCGTGACCGTGTTTGGAAGCCAGTTAGAGAAATAAACACAAAAAGATATCCAAGATATTTTTCTCTGTTTATTACTATGATCAAAACTATGAAATCCAAATCTAAAAACAGCTTGAACGTGCAATATATATTACTAAGCAACAATGAATAAACACTTCTGGCATAGTGAATAAATTAGATTTATTAGTTTTAGCCCAAAGTTTCTAAGGTTTCATTACTCTAAGCAGATTCAAGATATATCCCTACCCCACCCCCATACTGACAAAATAGACACATATTTTTTAAAGAGAGGCTATGAGACTTTAATACTATTCAATCCACTAAAAATAAACAATTTAAGGTCTGACAGAGACAAAAGCTTACACATAGCAAATTCACTATAAAAGCTTCCCATTTGGGAAATTTATTAATACAATTCAACCAACTGTAATTTTTTACATTATCTTTGAGAGATTTGAGAAAGTCATCAAATATATGAAAATATCAAAACATCCCTCTAAACAGTCATTTCTATCAGATTACTAATCTTAATTTACTTTCTTTAAAAATGATGTATATTTTTAGAAATGGCTATGTTATTCAGATCAACCTCTATAATGAAAGCAACTAGGTAATGATAGTTTGTTTTCTTAAAAAAAAATCACTAAAAGCATTGAAAAGCTGCCAAGAAAGTAATCCCTAGGCTAAAACTGAAAGAAAAGTGGGAACCCAGACAATCAAGTGGAAGACAAAAGTCATTTTTGCCCTGAAAACTTTTGCCAACACAAGAATATATGAACTTTGGTTTTCATGGTATCATAAGGGAATGGATCAGAAATCAGGTTCTAGGGCCCACCCAAAGTTTAGTGTCATAAGATACCATTTTCCTGTGTACAGCAAACTGAGACCTCAAAGGATTATACGCTCAGGGCAAGAATGAAACCATGCATGAACTTGCAGTACAAATTATCATCACCTGGTGGCTCAACAAACCTCAAGTCATGAATGTAAGGTATTACACTAATGTAAAACACACAAATTCCCTCTCAAATAAGAACCTATATTCTAGGCCTCAAATATCACTACAAATAATTTTTCAAAGAGAAAAAGTAGCACACAAAGACACAACGCACCTTGAGTAAGAGCTTACAAAGACAATGAACAGATTCACAAACATTTAAGATACTAGATTTATCAAACACAAACTATAAAGACAATTATGCTTAATATGTCTAGAAAATAAGCTTGAAAATATCTGCATCTGCAGGAAACAAATAACAAGGAAAATACAGACCTGGATTTTAAAAAAATACAAAAAGAACTCCTGGAAATGGAAAAAATAACTGAAATTGAAAAACCAACGAATAAACTTAGTAACAGTAAGACTGCTAGCCTGGAAGCATATCAGAAGATATCATCCAAAATACAGCACAAAAAGTCAAAAAGGTGGAATGTTTACAAGACAGGGAAGATACACAGAGAAGTAATAAGTTAAATTAAATATGAGAATCTAAAAGAGACTGGAGCACAGGGAATATCTGGGAGGAAAAAATAATGGTTGAAAATTTCTCAATACCAATAAAAGAAACCTACCAATCCAGAGCTCCAAAGAGCCTCACGAATGTCAAAATGATAAAGAAAAAGGAGAACATTTCAGTTTTAACTAATGACAAATGAAAGCTCTCAAGAATAAAAAATTAGTAAACGTGGTAAATTTAAATGAACATTAAGTGTAAAAAGAAATACCTTGTTGAGTTAAAATTAAGCAGAAAAAATAGAATTAAAATATACAAGAACAGTAACACAAATAAGACTTGGAACAAATAAGAGTTTTAAGATCTATGTAGGCCGGGTGCGGTGGCTCACGCCTGTAATCTCAACACTTTGGGAGGCCGAGGAGGGTGGATCACGAGGTCAGGAGATCGAGACCATCCTGGCTAACTATAAGACATGAAACCCTGTCTCTACTAAAAATACAAAAGTTAGGCGGGCGAGGTGGTGGGCACCTGTAGTCCCAGCTACTCGGGAGGCTGAGGCAGAAGAATGGCATGAACCCAGGAGGCAGAACTTGCAGTGAGCCGAGATCGCACCACTGCACTCTAGCCTGGGCGACAGAGAGAGACTCTGTCCCAAAAAATAAAAAAATAAAAAAATAAAAAATAAAAAAAAGATCTATGTATTGTTCAGGAGAAGATACAAGTATTGATGAACTTGAGACTTTGGCAAACATTAATACTTGTGACTTCTAGGGTAACTAGTTAAAGAACAGAACCAGTACACAACTTCCAACATAATGGCAGTAAAAGGGAATATTTACTTCCTCCCCAGTAAAAAATCTTAATGAATGCATGGAAGGGGGAAAAAAAGAAAAATAAAAAGGGATACCCCTCTGCCTATCTAATTTTTATAACCCTTACATACCAAAATCCAACATGAGAAAATATTACATGCCAATCTTATTCATATAGGTGCAAAATTCCTAAATAATTATCTAACAAAATTATGTGGAAATAATACATACAATACAAAATTCACACACATATATATCATGACCAACTGGTATTTAAAATGCAATATAAGTTTAACATTAGAAAATTGAATATAACTCATGTTTGTAACATAAAAAATGGAAATAAAATCTAATATAAAAAATCTACAAAATACCTATGACAATAGGTAACACATAATGACAAAATACATAATAAAAAATCCACAAAACATCTATGACAAATACAATCTTAGCAGTAAAACACTGTAAGCTTTCCCTTTGGATCAAGACAAAGATGCCTATCAATTACTTTTATTTAACACTGCTGAAAATGCAAGATAACACAGTTAAGAAAGCAAAGGAAATAAAAGCTATAAGGACTGCAAAGGAAAAAACAAAACTGTCTTTGTTCTCAGTATCTGTACCTGTATTCACTGAAAATCCAAAATAATCTGCAAGTGAACTAGTAAAATGACATTGCTTATATAGAAAGTTCACCCTAAAATTCACGTAAAATCTTAAGCGACCTCAAATAAGGAAAAGAATTTTAAAAAGAAAGAAGTTAGATAACTCACACTTCCAGATTTCAAAACACATTACAAAGGTAAAGTAATCAACGTGGTAGAGTACTGGCATAAACACAAATACACCAATAGCACAAAATAAAGAACCCAGAGATAAGCCCTGATGTACGTGGTCAACTCATTTTTAAGAAGGGTGCTAAGACCATTCAATGGGAAAAGGACAGTCTCTTCAACAAATGATGCTGGAAAAACGGGATATTCACATTCAAAAGAATGAAACTGGACCCTTATAGTATATACAAAAATTAATATAAAATAGATTAAAGACCTAAATCTATAAAAGTCTTAGAAGAAAACATAGGGGAAAAGCTTCATGACCTTGAACTTGACGATTTCTTGGATATGACCCCAAAGTACAGACAACAAAAACACAATAGACAAACGGGACTTTATCAGACTTAAAAATTGTACATTCAAGGACACAATTCAAACAGTGAAAAAGCAACCTAAAGGATGAAAGAAAATATTCGCAAATCATATTATCTAATGACGGTTATAATCCAGAATGGAGGTTATAAAGAATTCCCTGAACTTAAAAACAAAAAAATCAAACAATCCAACTAAAAAATGGGCAAAGAAATATTTGTATACCCCTGAACAGCACTACTCACACAACAGCCAAGAGGGGAAGCAATCCAAATGTCCACTTACAGATGAATGGATAAAGGAAATGAGGTATATAAATACCACAGATTGAATATTATTCACCCTTTAAGAGGAAAAAAATTCTATCACATGCTATAATACAGATGAACCTTGAGGACATTATGTTGAGTGAAACAAGCCAATCACAGAAAGAAAAATACTGTATGAGTTCACTTATATGGGGTATCTGAAGTAGCTGAATTCACAGAAACAGAAAATAGAATAGTGGTTGCCAGGAACTGAGGAAAGGAGAAAAGGGGAATTGGTTAATGGACACAGTTAAGGTTTGCAAGACAAAAACATTCTGAAGATCTGTTTCAAAACAATGTAAATATACTTAATGAACTGTGCACTTAAAAATTGTTAAAATGATAAATTTTATGTGATTTTTATCACAATAAGAAAAAGACACGGTCTCTCCCACAGAGCTTAGAGGTAAAATAAGACAAGTAAAAATAGGTAAAATCAAAGCATACTATGATAAGTGCCATAACAAGAAAACTTATCCAACAATAGAAGAAATAAATGAATTAACTACTGGTAGAATCAGGACTAAAGTCAGTCTCCTACGTACTCTACTCAACTTTCTTTACTGGTAAAGATACACCAAGATGACACTGTTGTTTAAAATAGAAGTAATTCTATTATCAGGTGCAAAAAGCTAATCTGTTTGGCCCTAAAAAATTGGATAAAGAGAAGAGAAATTGTAAGATAGTCATGATTTCACTCAAGACTAGAAATGCTGAGAAGTAAAAATCTAATGTATTTTCTAATTGCACGGGTACACCTCATATAAGGAATGTCTTAGAATATGGAGTAACTGTAAGTCTCATATGCAGCTGATAGAAGGGAAAATTCATAAAACAGTGTGGAAAACCGTATGACAGTATCTACTAAAACTGAACACACACATATCCTATGATCCACCAATCCCATTTCCAGTGTATACCTAACAGAAATGCACAGGTGTTTACCAAAAGTATGTAACAACCTCAAAATGAAAATAATCTAAATGTAAATGAATGATGTACAGTATATGTATATAATGGAATACTGTAAGGAAAAAAACTAAACAAATGACTATAGTCAATGGCATGGTGAATATCACAATGGTTAGACATCAAAATACTGGCTATTTTGGGAAAGGATGGGCAGTGACTAAAAGAGCACAAGTAAGTTTTTGAGGTGCTAATGTTCTACTTCTTAATTTAGGTGTTATTTGCACAGCTGTATTCAGTTTGTGAAAATTCATTAAGTTTCACATATAATTATACTTTCTTGTATGTAATACTTAAATTAAAAATTTCACTTATAAAAAGACATGTCAACCAAAAGAAAAAGAAAAAAGCAAGAAGGAAGAAGAGATTTACTAGCCTTAAGTAAACACACATGTAATGGGTTAAGTCTGTAAAACTTTGTGATAATAATAAACCAGTGAAGCCCAGGAATGATTACTTGAATAATTTAATCAATTGAAACATGCCACTCAGTTACTAAATCCTACAACCAATGATTATTAAGAAAGCACTCCTAAATATGTAATTTAGTTATTTTAATATTAGTATGACAACAAATTCCTAATTCTCTTAATAAGCATTAATTACAAGATACTGAAATAGGAAAATATCCACTCAGTACACATCCAGTCATTTAAATGTAAGTATTTATTTAGCATTAGACAATGGAACCTAATTATAGGTTCTGGGGCTAAAAAAAGAGACCAGATTTTTGTTCAGAAAGTGCCTCATAGTCCTAAACTAGAGACAAAAGGGGTCCTACCTGTATAAGAAGAGAAGGCAGAAAAGCACAGGATGCTATGGGAGCACATTCAGGTTTTCCATATCTGTTGAACTTTCTCAAACATCCCTTTCTAAAAAGAAATACTTCTAAACAGGAGCATGTGCAAACAAAGCTACCAACTGCTAATTAAGCTAAGCCCCCCTCCCTACCCTCTGGGCTTTTAGGAACAAAGACAAATATAAAATGTGAAAATGATAAAGTGGCTTTGACACAGCACGAAGACAAAGGCTACTTGTATCCATTTTTTGTTGCAGATGGTCATGAACACAACACTGACATTGTATTTATGCCAGAAGCTAGTTTCATGTTTATATATACATATTATATATCCACAAAAATCTACCTTCTTTGCCAGTTAACTGTAGAGACTTGGATCTCATGAGCGGGAATGAAGTTCTTCTTTTCAAATTCATGTCATCATAGGAAGAGAAGCACCTAACACATTAAGAAAAATACATATTGGTTACAAAGAGTAAAGTACTTATAATTTACTCTTTTGTTGAGGCTACACAGAGGTTATTGAGAACTGTGCATACCGCACAGGACTAACTCTAACACTCCAATTATTGCTAATACAGGTGAAAAAAAATTTTAAAGATCTTTGTCTAAAAGGTATTGTATTAAAATATGTATTCTCTTCTTCCTTTGAATTCCACATTTGAGCATCTTTCTCAACCAAATATTTCAAGGGTTTCATGCACTTACTATTAGTGTTTTCTCTATTATAGTCTACAGAGCCAGGTTAGGCACAGGACCATCTTACTATCCAATGATGTTTTTAATGTTTTGGTTTCAAGATAATCATATAGGGAAAGAAATTACCTGTCTCCCTTTATTTGCTTAAAACTTCTCAAAAATATATAAAGCATAGTAAAAAAATAAAATTGTGAAATATAATGCTGATATTACCTTTTAGGGCTCGGATACTGATTACTTTTAGGAAGTTTTGAAATATAATCTCCATCAAATTGAGAAGTGTTTCGACAACGCTGCATACAAAGCATCAGTCCCAAGACAACACAAAGAACCAAAGATATGACAAGATAGCTCTGTCGATCTGAAACCTGAGATAAGAAGAGGGTTAAATAATAATCATAGGAAATCATATTAGGAAAAATATAAGGGTATCTAAAATTCAAAGGACCAATCATTTTAAGTGTGTGTGTATATATATATATATATATATATTTTTTTTTTTATGAGACAGAGTCTCGCTCTGTCGCCCAGGCTGGAGTGCAGTGGCGCGATCTCCGGCTCGCTGCAAGTTCTGCCTCCCAGGTTCACGCCATTCTCCTGCCTCAGCCTTCCGAGTAGCTGGGACTACCACTGCCCGCCACCACGCCCAGCTAATTTTTTGTATTTTTTTTTTAGTAGAGACGGGGTTTCACCGTGTTAGCCAGGATGGTTTTGATCTCCTGACCTCGTGATCCACCCGCCTCGGCCTCCCAAAGTGCTGGGATTATAGACTTGAGCCACCGCCCCCAGCCCATTTTAAGTATTTTTTTAAAATGTGCTTCAAAGACCAGAAATGCAGGGCATGCTCTTTGAAAATAAACTATGACATTTAAAAAAAATTCTTTGCAGCATTCCAATTCTTTCTATAGGAGTGAAACCTATGGAAAAGTTTTAGAAATAAAACAATAAATATATTTACACCTTTAACCATCTCACCAATTGTTAACATTTCGTCACATTTGGTCTGTCTTTCCATTTACACTATCTCCTCCTCAGGGAGAAAAAATAATTGTGCTTTTTACCCAGTCTTTCCCATCTTATAAAAATGAACTATCAACCACCCAGTTATTTAAGCCCACAACTTGGAGATCAACCTTAATTCCTCAAGGCTTATCTTTCTACAACTTAAAAATATTCTGAATTCAGTAAGTTTACACTATTCTCAACTTTTAAAATCCTACTGTAAATCAACACCATCTCATCCAGGTTACTGCAATTACTTTTTTTTTTTTTGAGACAGAGCCTTGCTCTGTTGCCCAGGCTGGAATGCAGTGGTGTGACCTTGGCTTACTGCAACCTCTTCCTCCCGGGTTCAAGCGATTTTCCTGCCTTGGCCTCCCAAGTTGCTGGGATTACAGGCACATGCCACCACACCGGCTAATTTTCTTGTATTTTTAGTAGAGATGGTGTTTCATCACGTTGGCCAGGCTGGTCTCCAACTCCTGACCGCGAGTGATCTGACCGCCTGGACCTCCTAAAGTGCTGGGATTACAGGCGAAAGCCATCATGCCTGGCCTGCAATTACCTCTTAATTGATTTCCTGTCTGCTTCTGCTCCTGCTGTTCCCCAACAGGCAATTCTCCACAGAGCAACAAATGGAGAGTTTCTCAAAGTGCTAAGCATTAATGACATGATCCATATCACTTCTTAATACTTTCCAATGATACAATCAATGATTCAAATAAAATTCAAACTCTAAATTGTCTACAAAGTCCTACATGACAAGGCCTCTGTCAATATCTTGAACCCATTTCTTAGCTTCACTTCTCTCACTTACTCCGCTCCAGTCATATCAGCTTTCTTTCTGCTCTCAAACACATTACACTGTTTCTACTCTCCAGTCCTTTGCCCTAGTTCTGCTATAAACAGGTTTGTTATCATTCCAGGCAATGTGCAGCTGCTAACTCCTCTTCAGTACTTAGTTGTAATACCACCTCCTCAGATAAGCTCTCCAAGATCACTCTAAAGTAGCATCCCTTACTGCCACCACCCTACACACACACATATTTAATTTTCTTCACAGTATGTATCACTAGGAGAAATTATCATCTATTTATTTATTTACTACATGTATTCTATCCCTCCCCCAGGACGTAAACCCTGTGAGGCCAGGGACTATTACCTACCGTATGCCACAACCTAGGTGTGTACAGCTCACACTTCACATATGCTAGATGCTCAATAAAAAGTTTTTAAATCAATGAAATTTTTGCTTTGTTAAGCAACTTTAAAAGCCGTTTTGAACTGAAAATGAAGTACGTGTTGCTACTATCAGTGTTTACAAAAGGCCTGCTAGAAGTTTGATACCTATATTATAGGTATGGCCTAAATTATGAAAGCCATATTTTACAAAAGACTATGATAATGTATTTCCAAAACTTAAAACTTCCATATTCTGGTTTTTTAAAAAGTTCACTACAAATTACAATTTTGTTTGGTCAAAGTTTTAGGTACTATGTTCATGTTAACAAGCCTGACTTTATGACAATCTCTATACATGCACTGGGTCTCACAATACCAGCAGTAACAATTACCTCCCGTTTCAATTCTGCTACTGTTGCTGATAAATTTGAAACAAGCTGTGTCATGTTGGTCAGCTGTGCCTGTAGCAACTGGATGGCTTCAGTTTGCCGCTGATCCTACAATAAAGGAATTTATTTTTCTTTGAATATTAACTACAAACTATTAACGTTAAAAATTGAAATAAAATAATCTAAAAAAACCCCATTAAGTTATTTCAAAACAAATGTATTAATAGGAATCTCAATGAGTAAGTAAACTTTGAAATTTTAGAAATAAAACACTTGAAGTATCTGAGACTGTGTCTAACCCTCCCCAACAAGAATTATTATTTATTTATTTATTTATTTTGCCACTCACTCTCACTGCTACAATGTAAAATACTGTATAACAGAAGTTGGTAAATTACTTTTCAAATTAACATGGGTTCTATAAATAAACCAGCATATAACCAGAAATATTTAAAAAGTCACTTAGTGTTTCTAAAGCAAAGCAGTTGGCACAAAGACAAATTGAAAATTTTCTGAAGAATGTTTTTGGTTATAAAGTAGGCTCAAAACCAAGTTTAAAAAATTTCTTTCATAGCATATTATGTTGGAACTTAGGATGGGACACAGTGAAATATCTATAATTGTTCATCTAACCAATGCTAAAATATCACCGATGAAAGAAATGCATCAAAAATGCCTATCTTTCCATTTGTTTTAGGCAGCACTGAATTTTAGAAACTTTTATAATCAACAAAGATGTCTTGTTTATAATATAATTGGCATGCATACTTTAGGGAATTATACATCACATTCATAGTTATGACTCTGTATTAGGGAGACATAAACTGAAAATTTGAACTTATTAATAAAGTTAGGGAGGAGGAAATGAGGGCAGGAAGAAGTCAAGGAAATATAAAACTCTTTTAGGACCCTATATGAAATATCTACATAACTATTATTCTAGACCTAAGTTTTTCATATTTTGATTCAAAAAAGTTTTAAGTCTCAGCTGTGTACCTGTGTGTGGAGAGGGTGTATAAAACTACAGCAAAAGATTTCACTTACTTCCCTTACTGTGATCCACTATGGTACTTTCTATCCTACCTCATCTTTCCGAAATGCTAAATGTGACTTTTTAAATTGTTTCTTTTGAATCCTGACTTCCCTTTGACTCTGATAAATTCAAGACATTTATAAACATTTAAAGGACAAGCTATTAAAGTTAATACGTTGTTTAACACTTCTAATCAGGATTAACTTCCAATACTATTAATATGCAACTTTGTTGAAAAGTACTTAAGTAAGTCTTTGAGACACAAGACATTGATGTTACATATCAACAAAGAGAAAATACACAGGAGGGGGCATTCGTATTCAAACTAATGAAAGCTAAATAAAACACTATGTTCATGAGTCAGAAGTCTTAATATTAAGACGACAATTATGCAAATTAATCTATAAATTCATCAACACAATCCCAATCAAGATTCAATTTTTTTTGGTAGAGATTAACAAGCTGAGCCCGAAATCCATACAGAAATGCAAAAAACTACTACAGCCAAAACAATCTTGTAAAATAATAAAATTGGAGGACTTAACATTACCTGACTTAAAATGTTAATATGAAGCTACAACAAACATAACATTGTGTTATTACCTTAAAGATAGACAAACAGATCAATAGAACAAAAGCCCAGAAACAGACCCACATATATATGGTTAACTGATTTTTATCAAATGTACAAAGGAAATTCTGTGGAGGAAGGACACTCATTCCAACAAATGATTCTAGAACAAATGGATGTCTGTATGCTTTGCTCTTCTGACCCTGACTTTCCAAAAAGAACTTTGATCCATACCCTGTAACACACAAAAGTTAACTCAAAATGAATCATGGGCCTAATATAAAACTAAAACTATTAAGCTTCTAGAAAAAACAAAGGAAAAAATCTTTGTAATTTTGCATTAGGCAAAGATTCATAGAGCAAGAAGAAAACTGATATATTGGGCTTCAACAAATCAAAAGCTTCTGCTCTTCAAACCACACTGTAAAGAGAATAAGAAAACAAGTAATGGATTGGGAGAAAATATTTGCAAAGTGTATCTCCAATTTATAATGTGCCATGAATAGAAGAGTAAGATGCACCTAACAAAACTGCAGTATAAGGCCTCCTCACTTCACCATCCCCTAGTCCCAAATAACCTTTTAAAAAAGTATAAAATTTCTTTATTATGTGATAACACACATATCACACTAGAGGTGCAATATTGAAATAGTTCCCTTAAAATCAACAAGATAGGGGAATGGTCATAATTACCAGTCCTATTGCACCACTATATAGCTCTAGCCAAGAGATAGGGAAAAAAAAATAAAAAGGTATGACAATCAAAAAGAAGAAATGAAACAAAGCTGTTCTTACTTGCAGTCAATAAGATTATCTACATTAAAAAAAAATGCACACACACACAAAATTTTAGAGTTTAACAAAGTTGCAGGAAAGTCCTCTGCATTTCTACCTAACACACACACACAATGTACTATGAATAATGCTCAAGAAAACTTCCTCAGAAGGTTCCAAGATGGCCGAATAGGAAAGCTCGTCTACAGCTCCCAGCATCAGCGAGGCAGAAGACAGGTGATTTCTGCATTTCCAACTGAGGTACCAGGTTCATTTCACTGGGGCTTGTTGGACAGTGGGTATAACCCACAAAGTGTGAGCTGAAGCAGGGCAGGGCATCGCCTCACCCAGGAAGCACAAGGGGTTGAGGAATTCCCTTTCCTAGCCAAGGGAAGCTGTGCCAGATGGACCCTGGAAAATCGTGACACTCCCACCCAAATACTGTGCTTTTCCAATGGTCTTAGCAAACGGCACACCAGGAGATTACATCCTGCGCCTGGCTCGGAGGGTCCCATGCCCAGAGAGCTTTGCTCATTGCTAGCACAGCAGTCTGAGATCAAACTGCAAGGCAGTAGCGAGGCTGGGGGAGGGGTGTCCGCCACTGCTGAGGCTTGAGTAGGTAAACAAAGTGGCTGGGAAGTTTAAACTGGGTGGAGCCCACCACAGCTCAAGGATGCCTGCCTGCCTCTGGAGACTCTACCTCTGGGGGCAGGGCATAGCTGAACAAAAGGCAGCAGAAACTTCTGCAGACTTGAATGTCCCTGTCTGACAGCTTTGAAGAGAGTAGTGGTTCTCCCAGCATGGAGTTTGCAATCTGAGAACGGACAGACTGTGCCTCCTCAAGGAGGTTCCTGACCCCCGTGTAGCCTAACTGGGCGATCTACCTCCCAGTAGGGGTCGACTGATACCTCCTACAGCCGGGTGCCCCTCTGAGACAAAGCTTCCAGAGAAAGGATCAGGCAGCAACATTTGCTGTTCTACAATATTTGCTGTTCTGCAGCCTCTGCTGGTGATACCCAGGCAAACACGGTCTGGAGTGGACCTCCAGCAAACTCCAACAGACCTGCAGTTGAGGGTACTGACTGTTAAAGGGAAAACTAACACACAGAAAGGACATCCACACCAAAACCTCATTTGTATGTCACCAACATCAAAGACCAAAGGCAGATAAAACCACAAAGATGGGGAGAAACCAGAGCAGAAAGGCTGAAAATTTTAAAAATCAGAGCATCTCTTCTCCAAAGAACACAGCTCATCACCAGCAACGGAACAAAGCTGGACAGAGAATGACTTTGACAAGTTCACAGAAGTAGGCTTCAGACAATCGGTAATAACAAACTTCTCTGAGTTACAGGAGGATGTTCGAACCCATCGCAAAGAAGCTAAAAATGTTGAAAAAAGATTAGACGAATGGGTAACTAGAATAAACGCATAGAGAAGACCTTACATGACCTCACAGAGCTGAAAACCATGGCACGAGAACTACATTACGCTTGCACAAGCTTCAGTAGCCAATTCGATCAAGTGGAAGAAAGGGTACCAGTGATTGAAGATCAAATAAATGAAATGAAGCGAGAAGAGAAGTTTAGAGAAAAAAGGGTAAAAACAAACGAACAAAGACTCCAAGAAATATGGGACTATGTGAAAAGACCAAATCTACATCTGATTGGTGTACCTAAAAGTGACAGGGAGAATGACCAAGCTAGAAAACACTCCTCAGGATATTATCCAGGAGAACTTCCCCAACCTAGCAAGGCAGGCCAACATTCAAATACAGAGAACGTCATAAAGATACTCCTTGAGAAGAGTAACTCCAAGACACTAACTGTCAGATTCATCAAAGTTGAAATGAAGGAAAAAACGTTAAGGGCAGCCAGAGAAAAAGGTCGGGTACCCACAAAGGGAAGCCCATCAGACTAACAGCGGATCTCTCGGCAGAAACTCTACAAGTCAGAAAAAAGTGGGGGCCAATATAAAGAAAACAATGTTCAACCCAGAATTTAATATCCAGCCAAACTAAGCTTCGTAAGTGAAGGAGAAATAAAATCCTTTACAGACAAGCAAATGCTGAGAGATTTTGTCACCACCCAGGCCTGCCTTACAAGAGATCCTGAAGGAAGCATTAAACATGGAAAGGAACAACCAGTACCAGCCGCTGCAAAACATGCCAAATTGTAAAGACCATCGATGTCAGGAAGAAACTGCATCAACTAATGAGCAACATAACCAGCTAACATCATTATGACAGGATCAAATTCATATATAACAATATTAACTTCAAATGTAAATGGGCTAAATGCCCCAATTAAAAGACACAGACTGGCAAATTGGATAAAGAGTCAAGACCCATCAGTTTGCTGTATTCAGGAGACCCATCTCACACGCAGAGACACACAAAGGCTCAAAATAAAAGGATGGAAGAAGATCTACCAAGCAAATGGAAAACAAAAAAAAGCAGGGGTTGCAATCCTAGTCTCTGATAAAACAGACTTTAAACCAACAAAGATCAAAAGAGACAAAGAAGGCCATTACATAATGGTAAAGGGATCAATTCAACAGGAAGAGCCAACTATCCTAAATATATATGCACCCAATACAGGAGCACCCAGATTCATAAAGCAAGTCCTTAGAGACTTACAAAGAGACTTAGACTCCCATACAATAATAATGGGAGACTTTAACACCCCACTGTCAACATTAGACAGATCAATAAGACAAAAAGTTAAGAAGGACATCCAGGACTTGAACTCAGCTCTGCACCAAGTGGACCTAATAGACATCTACAGAACTCTCCAACCCAAATCAACAGAATATACATTCTTCTCAGCACCACATCACACTTATTCCAAAATTGACCTCATAGTTGGAAGTAAAGCACTCCTCAGCAAATGTAAAAGAACAGAAATTATAACAAACTGTCTCTCACACCACAGGGCAATCAAACTAGAACTCAGGGTTAAGAAACTCACGCAAAACCACTCAACTACATGCAAACTGAACAACCTGCTCCTGAATGACTACTGGGTACATAACAAAATGAAGGCAGAAATAAAGATGTTCTTTGAAACCAATGAGAACAAAGACACAACATACTAGAATCTCTGGGACACATTTAAAGCAATGTGTGGAGGGAAATTTATAGCACTAAATGCCCACAAGAGAAAGCAGGAAAGATCCAAAATTGATACCCTAACATCACAACTAAAAGAACTAGAGAAGCAAGAGCAAACACAGTCAAAAGCTAGCAAAAGGCAAGAAATAGTAACTAAGATCAGAGCAGAACTGCAGGAGACAGAGGCACAAAAAACCCTTCAAAAAAATCAATGAATGCAGGAGCTAGTTTTTTGAAAAGATCAACAAAATTGATAGACAACTAGCAAGACTAACAAAGAAGAAAAGAGAGAAGAATCAAATAGACACAATAAAAAAAGATGAAGGAGTTATCACCACCACTCCCACAGAAATACAAACTACCACCAGAGAATACTATAAACACCTCTATGCAAATAAACCAGAAAATCTAGAAGAAATGGATAAATTTCTGGACACATATGCCCGCCCAAGACCTCCCAAGACTAAACCAGGAAGAAGCTGAATCCCTGAATAGACCAATAACAGGCTCTGAAATTGAGGCAATAATTAATAGCCTACCAGCCACGAATGTCCAGGACCAGAGGAATTCACAGCTGAATTATACCAGAGGTACAAAGAGGAGCTGGTACCATTGCTTCTGAAACTATTCCAATCAATAGAAAAAGAGGGAATCCTCCCTAACTCATTTTATGAGGCCAGCATCATCCTGATACCAAAGCCTGGCAGAGACACAACAAAAAAAGAGAATTTCAGATCAATATTCCTGATAAACATCAATGCGAAAATCCTCAATACTGGCAAATCGAATCCAGCAGCACATCATAAAGCTTATCCACCACGACCAAGTGGGCTTCATCCCTGGGATGCAAGGCTGGTTCAACACACACAAATCAATAAACAAAATCCATCATATAAACAGAACCAAAGACAAAAACCACGTGATTATCTCAATAGATGCAGAAAAGGCCTTCAACAAAATTCAACAGCCCTTCATGCTAAAAACTCTCAATAAACTAGGTATTGATGGAATGTATCTCAAAATAATAAGAGCTATTTATGAC